GCTCGCTCTCTCCACGTTTGCCATGCTCTTTGTCTCCATGGGAAGACTCGCACCTTCCCAGCCCCACGCTATCAGTTCATCATCTGATTAAAGATTAATTTGAGATTATTGCTTGTGTCAATAGCCCAGAGGCAGGAAAACAATAGCTACACCTGCAGCTTGTTTGAGATCCCGGGTCCTTATGGCGAGCTGTTAATGGACAGAGGCTTTCACCAGGACTGCCTGTTGACAGGGGCTCACTGAGCCCTGCACCGGCACCTGCTTCTAGTGCCCAGGATAAATGCACACATCTTCCAATGCCTCCCGCAGTCCCAGGTATCTCGAGTGGGAAACCCGTGTTGTCTCTACTGATGACACCCCACGAGCCATCCCAGCTTCTGCCGTGAAGCTCCAGTCATTCCCTTCCCCAAATCAGAAACAGCCGTCCAGCCATTGACTTTAATAACGGGCCTTTCCCTGGATCCTGCCCGGTTTCTGTTTGTTTATTCAGCTTTTTCTAGGTAAGGTAAGAGCCAAAAAAAGAATTAGGCTGCTACACTTTGTAGGGGCTGGGCTTTGGCCGCCTTCTCCCAGGGCTGCACGCTCAGATGCTGGAAACTCTGCTCTGGAGGCTGCGGGGGATCTGGGAGATCACGAAGAGAACTTTTTTACCAGTTTTGCAGCAACAGGAGAAGAAAGTGGAAAAATTTGTCCTTCCTACTGCTCTGAAGGTGGGGGAAAGTGTTCTGGGGGGCAGTGGCAGGGCTGTCCCCCACCCACCGCTGGCTCCCCACCCTGATGTGAGCTCTGCCGGGACCCCCCAGCTCAGCTGAGCATAGACGGGCTCAGCGTGTTCCTTGTCTTTAAATGCTTTTCAGCCCTTCTTCTTTTTCCCTCTTTCCTCTTCCCAATGCCCAGATGGCCCATCAGGGGTTTGCCAAGGACTTTGAGTGCAGAGTGGCCCCAGGGTTGATCTTTGCCCTCACTGCACCAAGGTCAGGCATGCCTTATGCCCATCCCCAAGAGAAGGGGACATAAAAGGGTGAAAAAGGCAGTTTTGGGATGTGCAGCCCACAAATCACCAAGTAGGTGAAGCTTAGCCTTTGCAAAGGTGGCTGTAATCCACCCCCTTCCCTTCTCGTCCCCTCTGGGGTGCTCCAGATGCCTGCAGAGAGAGGACAATTTCAAACAGCATCATCGAAAGCCTGAAAGTCCTTTTTAACACAGCATCACCGCGTGGGTCTGCCCCAGCTCTCTGGCCCGGGGGGTGGATTCTGTGACAGGGTGGGTTTCCAAACACCCTTAATTCTGCGTCAGGTCAGGGAGGGGGGAAAAAAAAACTATTCCTCTCCGGGAAGAAAAGGCACTTTGTGGTTTCCCCGACGCCTTTGAAAGGGCTCCAGGAGCCGAGGGGACGTACGTGCTTGCTTAAAGGTCCCGTGGAGGTCCGTGGAAATTAAACGTTGGAGTTCAAACGCTCGACGCCGTGGCCGTGCCGCCGCCCGGGGAGCGCGGCAGCCCGGAGCCGGCACAGCCCGCACCCCGGCACCACGGCCCCTGCCAGCAGGGCCCCCCGCTACCTGCCGGGCGCTTGATTGAATCCCGGTTTTTACGAGCGCTGACACCGTAATCTGTTACAGATGGTCACACAAGGTGGTCACCAAATGGTTCCTCCCGTTAATCGCTGGCTGCCCCTTCCCCAGCCGCCCCCACCACCGAAACTGCTGCCTGCGCTACCTGCATGAAACAGCCGGGCTGCGGCTTTATGGTGTGTTTAGTTCCTGTGGCATTAAAATGGGGAAAAAACAGGGGGAAAAAAACTGCTGAGGTTTTGCCATGAACCCTCTGGCTTCGCTGAGCAGCACTTGCCGGCTGCGCGGGGAAATGCAGGAGACTGAGGGCAGGGGGCTGCGGTACCGCTGTCAGGGAGGCTGTTCTGGGGGGGGTTTCCTTCCAAAAATGAGATGAAAAGGCAATTGCAACTCATCCTCAGGCCCAGCTCCTCGGCGCAGTTCTCCATCACAGAGCCCCAAAGGTGTGTGGGGGCAGAGAAAGGACAGAGAGGATTGTCCACGTCTGCAGCAGGTTTGAGCTGGACACAAGGGTGTCCTTGTCACGGGCCCCAACCCTCTGCTCACCCCAACAGCCCCCAGTGCAGCAATAAGAAATACTTTTGCAGTAGGAAAATGAGCAGCCAGTCAGAAGAGGAGGGATCTGGGCCACGTCCATCACCCTGTGACAGGGCAGCAACTGGTCCAGACCTGGGCATAAGTTGGGGAGGCCAGAGGCATGACCTCAAGCTGTGGGACAGCATCTGAGTGGCCGTGGGTCCCCGGGGTGCAGGGTGCTTGGGCAGCCCAGGGAAGGGAGCAGATGCAGCAGCAGCCTGAGTGCCAAGGGGCTGCGCTTTTGTGATTCAGAACAGGCAGCATTTCTTTTTTCCAGTGTTTTAAGGCTGCATTTGTGTTTGAATGCCAGCAGGATTTGTCAGTCGGAGCCTAGGCTGTCCTCCACCCATTTTATACCTTCTCTCTAAAAGCCTTGCGTCCCAGCCAGCCTCTGGACAAAGCCGGGAACACAACCGAGAGCAGGAAAGATTGCTGAGGAGGAGGTTTTCTCACAACTCTCATGGCCTGCCTAACCAGTGTCAGTGGAAGCCCATTGAGAGGGAGCTGGCAGGGTTCCCTGGTGGGTGCCACCGCAGGGGAGAACCAACAGCCCCAACCATGTGGGAAAGGGTCCCCATCCGGATGGGTGACAGCCGTGGCACGTGTGGCTGGGGGAAAGGCACAGCCTGTGTGGTGGGGCTGGATGCAGGCTGAAGGGCCTTGAAGCTGAGCAGTAACCAAGGGCTCTCGCATGTCAGAGCCCCAAAAGCCAACCCGACCCGCACAGGGCTCCGTGGGCTTCTCCTCTCTGCTTACCCACTCCTTCACCCTCCTTTCCAGTTCCTGCAGGTGGTCCGTTCTCAAAACTGGTCTTTTTTTAACTATTTAGCTGCTTTTGCGGCTCCAGGATTTTATGGATGGAAAGCTGAAAGTAATTAGTGCCCCTCCCCCGCTTCCTGTTGGGAAAAGGAAGAAAAAAGCACACACAAGAGCAAACCCAAAACTTCCTGCCCTGCTTAATAATCAAGTAATGAGTCCAACTCGGCTGGGAAAGCCGGTTTATACGGGGCGAGCTCTTAATTAAAGAAGGGTCGAGCAGCAGCTCTGCTCCCTTTTACAGCCGCACACATCTTCCTGCTCCACAACAGCCCTGGGAGAGGCACTGGGAGCCGGAGGGGCTGGAGGGGGGATGAGTGAGTGCTGGGGGGCATGTGCTTTTGTGTTAAAAGGAATGTCCTGGAGACAGCACCAAGGAAATGCAGGGGGAGCAGGACAAAATCCCAGTCCCTGGAGGAGGCAGGTGAAAAGACTGGCTGCACTGTCCCTGAAGCACCCCAAATTTGGAGGCGGCTGGGAAGGTGCAAGGCAGGTGGTTTGGGGCATGGGGAACATTGGTGCTTTGGACACAGCTTCATTAGGACAGTCCTAGAGGCAGGTATGTGGGGTATCCCGGAGCACCTGCCCCCCCCCCCCCCCGCCGCCCCCCCCCGCAGTGCTGTTTTCATCCGCCAGATGCGCGCAGTTGAGCTGCGTTGGCTCTGATCCCGGGGATGAGCTCAGAGGATTGGGATTGGGAGAAGGGATCAGCTGCTCTCCTGACGTGGCTCTGACGCGCTCCGACGCGAGAGGTCGGGTGTCCCCCCGCGCCCCCCCCCCCCCCCCCCCCCCGGTCCCCTCCCGGCTGTGGGGACACAGGGGACAGCCCCACCTGCACACGCTGAAGGGCTCTGCGGTGACAACAGGATGTGTCACCTCCGCTGCCACACCACCCACGTCGGGTCACCTGCCCTGAGGCTCAGCTCACTGAGGTGTCTGGTGCCTTTGCCCTCCTCCAGGGTCTGCCAAGAGCTGGAGGCAGCCCCCCGTGCTACGGTGGGGACCTGCTCCCCAGGCAGTGCTGAGGGACATGGCTAGACCATGGATGCTCCAGTATCCCTGTGGGAAAGCCAGCACCCATCTGGGCAGGCTGGGATGGACAGGGAAAGCCCTTGTGCTTTCCCACATGGAACAACCATGGAGATGCACTGCATCCCCAGCAGCCCTGTCCCCCCCCCAGCCTGCATCACCACACAGCTGCCCCTTCCCCAGGAACTGACTCAGCCTGCCTTTTCCTGCCCCGAGAGGTGACTGCTCTGCAGATCCCTCCGGTGAAAGCAGCCCACCGTTCACCTGCAGCTGGAGGCTCAGGGGTGCTGAGCCCAGCACCCCCACCCAGCACAGCATCCCCATCCCCATATCCACCCTAAGCACCCACAAAACCCTACTATAAATTAACCATTTTATTGAATATCAATAAACCGTATATAATTATATAAAAAGTTTCATCAGTACAAAATTGTGGCACAAAAATATATAAATACCAGTGTACCTTTGAAATGTAAACATCCTCTTTGTAATGATTCCGTGAAAACAATGTCCAAAGAAAGATGCATTCAGGAGGCACCTGTCAATACCCATAAATAGGGCTTTTGGCACACACCTGTCGATGGGCAGCCCTGGGACAGGCCACCATTGTATCGGCTGACAAGTGCCTGCTATTAGTCACAGTTCTCTTGAAAAGCAGTTGTTAAGAGTCATATTAACAGGTGCTTGAGTGCATAGCTGCTCTGTAAACAGGGTTGGTGTTTGAAATGGCTACCCATGCCTTTTATGGACACTGTTAATCTCGCAGGCATTGCAAATTGTCATTGTGCTGGGGAGAAGCAGCTGCTTCACAACTACTGGGATACTGTATTATTGCATAGTTACACCTTCTACAGGCGGCGTATATATACACTCGGGGCAGGGCGGGAGGGAGGGAGGGGGGTGTTAATATTTTGTCCTTCATTAAAAAAAAAAAAAAATATTGGTTTTTAAAAGTTACCAAGTGGTTACAGTTTAAAAAAAAAAAAAAAAAAAAAAGAAAAACACAGAAACCCCCCCAACACCCCTCCCAAGCTACACGGTCACAATGTTTGATGCCGGGGGTGCAGGTCCAGCCCTGCAAGGTGCCGAGTGCCTCCGGCAAGTTTTTTGGGGGGGCACCTGCCAGGGGCAGGGGGGCTGCGGCTGGAGGGGGTCAGGCTGAGGGGCTGTGCCCCCCACCCCCGAGTTCCACGCACTCCCTTCGCCACCCACGCTTTGCACCGGGGTCCAATCCTGCACCCCTGGGAGAGGGACCAGGCCTTGGCATCGCCCGGGAGGCACCCAGCGAGGAGTGTGAGGGTCTCAAGGGCCGGTGCGCTCTGCGATGGCGACGGAGGAAACTAACTCCTACAGAAACTAGTTATAATATAGGTATTTGCGTGGCGAGAGGCCCCGGGGAGAAGCAGAGTCCTCAGCGAGAGCCGGAGCAGCCCGTCTCTTCGTGCTTGTGGAGCAGCGACATACGGGAGAAAGTCCGGGAGCAGGTTTTGCATTGGTACTTCTTTACATCTGAATGGGTCTGCAGGTGGGCTCGGAGATTAGAGCGGTCAGCAAAGGCCCGGTTGCAGTGTGTACAGGAAAAGGGCTTTTCACCTATGGGACAAAGAGAAACGCTCCCAATTAACCAGTGCATCAACACATGGGGAATATCAAAGAAGGAGCCATTCATTAGCCAAAGTTTGTGAAGAGCACAGTGAAAAGAAGTGCTGGCTGTTATTGTTCGGAGGGAAAGACGGGCGAGGTATGTTCGGGGAAAAAAAAGACGGGGATTTGGGATTTTTCTACTCCCAGAAAAACCTCTCGGAAAAATTAATGCTGGAAACATCTGCAAGCAGCAAGGCGGTTGCACATACAAACGAAGACGCAATAGTCGTCTCCCGCCTGGAGCCAAGCAAACCGTTTGCGGAGAGGCAGGAAAGCCAAGCACTATGTGTTAATTATATCATAGCAGGCAGCGGCTGAAAGGCGCCAGCGCCAGGGTGAGTATAGCTATTTCCTCCGCCGAACCCCGCGCTCCCCCTTCTCCTGCCCAGTTCGCATTGAAAAGCCTGGCCAGGGCGAATTCCTCCCAGAAAGACTCTTTTGGAGGAAACAAATGCGTATGCTTAATTTGGAAAGCACAATTAAGTCTTCCCGGCTTCCTTCAGCCATCATCTTTAGTACGTTAAGAGGGTGTGAAATCAGTGCCAAGTAACAATTACACTGTCCCCGCGGCCCCACAAAGGATGCTCGGGAGATGCATTGTACGGGCAGCCCTGGCGGCGGGGTGGGCTGCAGCTGCGGGTGCCCGGACCTGCAACCGACAGCCCGGTGCCCCCAGCACCTGCCCCGGTACATCTCGGCAGGCAGCGGGTGTGCTTTGAGCCGAGCAGGACAACAGGCTGGAGGCCACGGTGGTGGGCAGCTGGACCTGGGGTGCTGCCCTGGCCGGGACCCCTTGGTGTTGGGGGCAGAGGGGGATGCTTTGGGCACGGAGGTGCACAGGGACGGTGTGCTTCAGCAGTCTCATAGCCCCACTTTGTGAAATTAGGCTGAAATGTGTGCGGTGGCCCCGCGGCTGAGGGGTTGGCCCACGGGCAGGCACAGCACTAACAGCAGCAGCACAGATTTACAAGCTGAGCCTTGACCCCGCGGTGCTCGGTTCCAGCCAAGAGGATATTTAAAGGACATTTTAGAGAGATGTGCCAAAGGGGTTTGGGAAGCCCTTATCTCCCCAGATAACACCCGGCCCACCGATTTGCTGGGGGCCACGGAGCTGGGAAGCGGGAAGCGATAAGGGAAGGAGGGAGAGGGGCGAGAGCCAGCGTTACCGGTGTGTGTCCGGATGTGGCCCTGCAGCAGCCAGGGCCGGGAGAAGGCCTTGCCACACATCTTGCAGACGCAGGGCAGGGTATGGCTCCGGATGTGCATCTTGAGAGCCCCCAGGCTCACGTACTCCTTCTCGCAGTACTTGCAGCTGAAGGATTTCCTGGCCTGGGAGTCGCAGTGCAATTGCTTGTGCTTGGAGAGCCCGGCGAAGGTGGAGTAAGCCTTGGCACACTGGGCGCAGCGGAACCGCTCGGCTGCAGCGGGGGCCGAGGCTGGGCTGGGGGGCCCGGAGCTCTTGCCTTCATCCTCCTCGCTGGAGAGTGCTGTCAGGTCCAGGGCGGGGGCAGCGCCACCCGCTGCTTCACTGCCCGGGCCACCCGGGAAGAGGCTGGAGAGGAGCCCCGCATCCCACACCAGCGGCGGGTAGTAGGCACCGGGGCCAAGCACCTCGGGCGGGGGGATGACGGGCAGCGGGCACGTCTCGTACAGCAGCGGGGCGGCCAGCACTGCGGGAGGGGGCAGCACTCAGTAGGGGCCCGATGCTCCCCATAAGAACGGGGACGAGGGGCCCCCCACCCATCCCCACTAGGCTCTGCACCCAGGGGAGGGGGCTCCCCAGCCCAGCCCCGGGCAGTGGGATCTGACCACAGGCCACCCCATGACAGCCCCGCACCCCACCCCGGAGAGGCAGAGGGACCCCAGCCCACCCCGGGGCAATGGAGACCCCACCGCACGGGGATCAGCGCCCCTGCCCGCCCTGCTGCGAGGGATGGGGCTAAAGGGACCCCATGCCCCTGCCCACCCCCCGCACACCCGTACCCACCCCACAGGGGAGCCCCCAGCACCCCCCGCC